TGCATCTAATGCCACTTCAAATGCAGCTTCTGTTTCCTCAGCAGTGGAAAGATAGAGTTTGTTAATACTAATTTCATTTGAATGGTAACAATTCTACAGTTTCTTATTATTCTAACTTACTTAATTGAAACAAAGTAAGAATTTGATGTGAAAGATGACATTTAATAAGGTTAGGGGAAAAAAATTAGCATTTATAAACAGTGGGAAATGACATCTGTTTTGTTACATACAGCAACTCATTTTAAGTTAACTATTTCTTCCTCTTCCCAGTTACTGAGCACTTTATTTTGAGAGTTGTTTAAGTGAGAGAAAATCTGTTTTAGTCTGACTTAGTCCAGATTGGGGGTATTGTAATGTTTAATAATTTATTTTATTATGTAAATAATTTTTGCATTGAAATTTGCATAGATTTTTGTTTGTATATGCTGTCAATTACAGTTCTTAGAAAGAAAATCGGAAACGGCAAAAATTGGTAACAGCAGGTCACACTTCCAAAAAAATCGGAAATTGGAATCGGCCGAGAAATCGGTGTATCTCTACCAAATGCAATCGGTGCATCTCTACCAAATACATTAACATTGTCATGTACATTACCATGCAAATCACAGACAGACAGACAGATAAAAAAAATAAAAAAATAAACTAAATTGGTTTATGAGTAATAACCTTAACTGATCTCCAAACCTAAAAAACATTAACATTCTTTCTGCTCTTCTGCTCTAGTCTCATGGAAAACAAATTATGTTTGCTAACGGTTGCCTGTTATATTACAGTACTTAAAATTTAACTTACCACATAAACACAGTTAGGAGAAATGACTGAGGATGATGGCGAATGAATTGCAGATTCTGATCACCACTGTCAAACATCTAATCTTGTAAAATGTGTGGTAAGTACTGCCGCTCCATAGTATAAACAGAGTACGTGCGATAGCGAATCTCGAAAGTGAAAGTGAAACTAAAAAGTGATCGTGCATTCAAAAGCAGTTTCTGTCACGAATCCTGTCCATGGACTTTCGTTCAGTCACCACCAGAGGTCACGCTTTCATTACATTGACTCTCGCACAACACAAACTGTTGCATATCACCCCTGACTACATATCCCATCATTCATTGCACTGATTGCACACAGCACTGATTGCACACAGCTGTTTCACTGATTGCACACAGCACTGATTGCACAGCTGTTTCATATCACTCACTCACTATATAACACTCACTCAAACTACCATTCTCTGCTGAGTATTGTTTAGCCT